TCAACTTCGATATAGCCATAAGTAACATTGTTAAAAAAATAACTTTTCTGAGATTGTAGCATTTACCATTTTCACAAACCTGCTGAATCTATCTTCTTTCCAGACCTTAAATTGATGTAAACGCTTTGCTGCTAAGGATTCGTTCTGGTCAGTTTCATTAAAATGTTGACGTTTTTTCTCCATGCCTTCTTATGCTGTATTTGCTCTTAAGTAATACAATATGGTAAAGACTTTGAAATAAATTATATCTCCAGACACACAATGTTAGGTGGATCGATAAATGCCCTATGACGTCTACTATACATCATAAAATTTCTATCATAACCTGTTTAACAAGGCTTTTCTTCTTGGACACTAAGAATTCCATTCAAAGCGTTTTACATATTGCATTACTTATCAAAATAGAGGATATGTAAACCTTGACATTTGTTAAAAGACCCAGGCTTTAACCAAAAAAGACCAGAACAAATCGATAGCAGAAAACAGATTAAACAACAGAAAAATGACTGCTTAGAAATAGAAGCATGTGAACTTAACCCAAGACAAGCTTTCAGCACATACTCAAAAGAAATGGTTATTTGATATATACAGGCACCTGAAAATCTCTCAGACTATACTGGAACTTCATATAGTCAAATATCACAATTAAATGAAAATATCGTAAATAACTGTTACAGCCTGTCTTCCAAAGCCTGGTTTGGAACAGGAGAAATTAAATTGCTTTTCTTGGCTGAGATTTTGTTCCCATAAAAGTGGGTGTTAGAATAACTGTATATCGTGTTAAATTATACTTGCCAGGTTCTATTTAATTCTAGTACCAGTAACAGTAAAAACTATTATTATTATTATTATTGTTGTTGTTGTTATAAAAAAAACCAGTACTTTTGTCCTGGTTTGAGCATCTGTCATCTGTTTAGTGGCTGGCCCAGCCTGAACTCTTGACAAAATTATGGAGTAAAACCAATGTAATAGTTCTAATTTATATTTAGTAGAAATACTTCTATCTTCAAATACAGTGAATCTTTCTGATGGTCTCTTTGGATAAGGCCCGCTACAAGTATACTTATGGAACATAACATAAAAAGAAAATATTATGATCATGTTTAGCATTATTCACAAATCACTAATACACGTGTACATACCCATGTGTGTATGTATGCCCATTAATGAAATATATGCCTTACAGCTCTCTTTGTATTTATAGCAAAATACAACTGTCAATGTCACCTTTCATTTTACCAGTCAAAAACTTCTGATAATAGTAATTTTATTCATATATGCTAATACGTGAACGGTTCATTTGCAAAACACATTGCAGTTTAGGGAAAAATGGAGGTATTTCATGCTATGAAAAATGGACGAAGCTTGCTCTGAAAACTGTTTACATCATTAGTAATGCTACAAGAGAAAGATATAAACTCTCTCTCAAAAAACTGAGAAGTAAGACTTTCAAATAAAATACACCCTGAAGAATAGTTAAAGGATGTCACAGAGATTTTTAATATTTTAATATTACCTAAATATCTTGCAGCACTTCAGATGTGTGCTTGACAGAACATTTTAAAAAACGCGAAATGTTTTTATTTGCAATCATTTTTCTTTGGTGAATCTTTGGTTTATTTTTCAGTACGTGAACTAATAAAAAAATTAAAATAAATTAAAAAAAAGGAGTTCGTATTTGACTCATACCTTCATTGTAATGAGATATTTCTTTGCTTTATGACACAATTTTTCAATCATAATTAACATTTAAGCTGCTAGGAATCTGTGAGCATAATGTCTCAGAATTAGGTATGATATCAATAAGAGTAAGCAAACTTCACTATACTTATATGCCAGTCTGACTCATAGAATCACAGAATGATTTGGGAGTTGGAAGGGACCTCAAAGATCACTTAGTTCCAACTTCCCTGCCATGGCAGGGACATCTACCACTAGATCAGGTTGCTCAAAGCTCTCCCCAGCCTGGCCTTGAACACTTCAAGGGATGGAGCATCCACAACCTCCCTGGGCAACCTGTTCCAGTGCCTCAATGTTTGAGAATTCCTCAGGCTGTTGAATCTCCATGCCAGTTCTATCTTTCATCACTCCAGTTAGACCAAACACTAGAACAGCAATGCTGTTAATAATACCCTTCTCTTAGTACTCTATAGTAGATGTCAAAAGTACTTTATCAGAAGACCAAGCATAATTATGCCCATTTCAAAGATGGGAAATACAAAGGGGGTGATTCGCAGTGATTCACAACAAAACTGTCTTGTCGATATTTTGCTCTAAATATGTTGATCATTCCCTACAATAGATTTATTTTATTTGGATGGAAGAGCTGAGAACTGTGAGAAGGATGGAAAGAAACAATACAGAGTCATCTATGCTTTGTTTCAGTGTGTCTAGGACACTAATGTGTAAGAAGTTTAAAGCTGACCCTAGGAAATCTAGCCAGCACTTCAAGCTAGATAAAGAAAATGAGAGCTTTGACTGTCAAACTTTAGGAAAGCCATTGATCTGTCGAACCTGCATTTAAAAGAGCAGAGAGTTTACACATTTAGAGTATCTGGGATTTTGCAAAAATACCTTCAGGCTGAGGAAGTTATCCTACTCTATAACCAAGGATCTACAAATCATGATCTAAGATTCTCACGGACACCTAAAATGTTGTTTTGTCAGACAGTTTATATGCATTCAGGATTAATAAGTTATTACATTTTACTAACAAAACATTTTACTATGCTACCCTCTAAACAATGAGTAAATCAGTTACAATTAAATTATTTGTGAAAGATTAATTTGTGAACTTTTGACTCTGAAGTTTAGACAAGCACAATTCATGATATGACAGATACAGTTGTTATTCTGCCAAAATAAAAGGGTATATTAGTGAAGACTTTTCACAAGTTTCTTGTAGCAAATTACAGCAAGTCTTTGGGGACTTTTTTATGAAATAATAACATTTCATAGTAATGGAAGAGCAACATATCTTTTCCAGTGAATTACATATAAGTGGAAAGTCAGAAAAACAACATTTACAGATATCTGAAATCCATCATAAAAATAATATTTAGCAGTACAGACAGGTTAATAAACAAGTGAAGCTGTTAGTCCAGAAATGGTCCAGATTAGGCAATTAGAATGTGGTTGACTTCCTCTTTTGCTGCGTTTATTCTATCATTTTTAGACCAATTTTCAAATTTATTATTGATAGTTTTTTTCTGGCATTTGTATTAATTCTGGTTTTAATATAATGTGAGAAAAATGTTTATTTTGTCAAAGTATAAAAATAAATAGCTGGTATACCTAGTTTACCTTCATCATTGATACTGCCTTGAAGATGAGTGCATAGGAATGTCAGTCTCAAGGCCTCAAACTTCTTTTCCAGTCCAAACATGTAATAACTTTTTCCCTTTTTTTTTTTTGTTAACAAAGAACACATTCCAGTCTTAATTATTTTTGTTGTTTAACAATGTTTACAACTTCAATAAACATCTCTTTAAATTAAAGGGATGCAGTTTTAAAAATATTATTATCATGTTAGATTTATTTTGAAGTTTCGCTAATTAACCACTTAATATATTAATTAGAGGCTTTCAGCCTTCAGTGAAGACGTTATTGTTCCCAGTCAAAAGAATTAATGGAAAGTTTACTGCTTGGTTAAATAATTTTGTTCTTCGGTCTTTAACAAAAGCCTTTCTGCACTAGAGGTATTTGAGGTGTTAAATTAAAGGATCCAAAGGCAAGGAAACTAGGAACTCTGTAAAGGCAAGATATTAGTATTTTAAACCTTTATCAGGTAGACCTAGAGTGAGTTATATATTTTAAGAAAAAAAAAACAACAATTGACTACATCTGTAGAACCATAAGAAAATGATCAGAGACCATGTTAAAAATACTTGAAAGCCCTTGACTGCAAAAAGAGGGAACTCTTTCATAAGATGCATTTGCAGTAATTTAAAACTTCATAAAAAGGAAACTGTAAGATGGAAAAAGCTCCTGACATTTAGATGTAGCAGATTACAAAAAAAAGCATCCGTGAATAAGCAAAGAAGTTCCTACTGTTTGAAATTTATAGCTATGTTGTATATATTAGTAGCTAGAATTATATTCATACATTTTAAGCATTGTCTTGAGTTTTTTTAGGACTATTTACTGTAAGAAATTTAATTTTGCTATTGAAAAGTACTAAAGAGTAAAAAAATATCAAAAATACTAAAAATATGAAGTTAGTAATCTTTTCCTTTGGTAGGTGGCAAAAAGATGTTTGTAGCATTTTTATTTGATTAATTAAGATAGCCTGCTAATTTTATATATATATGTACACATATATAAAACTACTGTACTGTGGACATCATATCATTCTCTTGCAAAGTTTGACGTGTCTTCCACAGGTGCTTTCTTCCTTACAGATGTCTAAGACAGATATTTCCACCTGTTGGCTTGTATAAAATACCATACCTTTGGTCAGGTCAACTGGTTATTTTATTTATATGTGTTTTATTTATATGTGTTTAAACTTACTGTGGCACCATTCAGCATCAAAGTTACAGTATTCCTGGACTTTGGGGAAAAAAAAAAAAAGAAAAAGAAAATAAATCTCTCTTTTATTTGGTCTAATATAGTAAAACAATAAATTGTCAATTAGATATATCTTCCGAACTAGTTCTCCATTCACTTGAATGACATTACTAGCTTCTGTGTCAGAACCGTTGTGTATCTCCATATGTGTTAAAAATACGTTAAAAATGGGTAGATAGAGGCACTTTCATAAATATTATCATTTTATGTATTAATTTTACTGTCTATTTTGATAAGGAGTTTAAAAGTACTACCTTTTGAAAATACTTACCTTATTTTTAAAACAGCAAGCAAGATGTAACTATAAAAGTTGTGTGCTATCAAATTAGACATATTAATGTGTATTATTATCTTAAAAAGAATATGATACAGTAAAATTTTTGAGGTTTTATATGTTCTCTTTTAATTTCACTTGTCTGTTTACTGTTTAGGAAAGAATAAATCTGCTCCAGAAAAGTCATGTTTGGGTCCATCTCATAAAGAACGGATATCATTTAGAGATCATCCAGTGCAGCTCAGCGGAGGATGGGGAGCAGGCAAAAAAAAGGCAAAAGCTTAAAAATATTAGTGAATATTTGAGATAATTCAACTAGCTAATTTAATCAAATATGGAGAGCATATGGAGAGCTGTTTCTTTTTAAGCCTGTGAATTTAAGTTTTCGGATTCTTCTTTATTACCAATATAAACAGTTTCAGTTAACTACCTTTGACTTATTTTATTGTATATGGTTACAGTGGTTTGTTTTTTGGGAGGAGAGTCAAAGTATTTTATACCTGGCAGTAAATTATCATAATTTGTGTTTTCAATTGCTTATATGTTTGTGTGGCGTAGAATGAATTGATTAACCCTACAAGGATTGTTGTACAGTGAATAATCTCAGGCTTGCTTATAAGAACTGGTTGAGATGTACAAATGTAATAATAGTTCACACTCCTGTGATGTATGTGACATACCAAAACACTGAATTCTCATTTTCTCACAAATAAAATACGTGCTTGCAAACTGTGTTGTGAGCAATACCAACCAGCAATGCCATTCTTGGAGAAGTCTGGTTAGGATCTCATACTGAAGCAGCAAAAATTTGCAGCAGCCTACAAATGGTGGGGATGCACTTATCTTTTTGTTCTGGGGCAATGTAACATTACATCTACACAACACTGTTAACCCTACTTCATTTGTTCATTTATCCAGACTCTGTCAGACCCCGTGTGTAGTAGTTGTGCTGTACAAGGAGATCTAGAGAAAGAGAAGAAATGCTATTTCAACTATTCATAGAATCATAGAATCATAGAATGGCCTAGGCTGGAAGGGACCTTAGAGATCATCTAGTTCAACCTCCCTGTCATGGGCAGGGACACCTCTCAACTAGATCAGGCTACTCAAGGCTCCGTCCAACTTGGCCTTGAACACCTCCAGGGAGGGGGCAGCCACAACGTCTCTGGTCAATTTATTCCAAAGTTTTGCCACCCTCATACTGAAGAATTTCTTCCTAAGATCTAATCTAAATCTATTCTCCTTCAACTTAAACCCATTTCCCCTTGTCCTATCAGTGGACACTCTTGTAAAAAGTCCCTCCCCAGCCTTCCTGTAGGTTCCCTTCAGGTATTGGAAGGCAGCTATTAGGTCCTCCCGAAGTTTTCTCTTTGTGAGACTGAACCATCCCAGCTCCCGCAGCCTGTCCTTGTAGCAGAGGTGCTCCAGCCCCTGGATCATCTTTGTGGCCCTCCTCTGAACACCTTCCAACAGATCTATGTCCCTCTTATGGTGGGGGCAGCAAAACTGGACACAGTATTCGAGGCGAGATCTCACAAGAGCAGAGTAAAGGGGGAGAATCATCTCTCTTTATCTGCTGACCACGCTTCTCTTAATCCATCCTAGGATGCGGTTGGCCTTCTGGGCTGCACTGTTGGCTCGTGTTGAGCTTCTCATCTATTCCTGGATGTCTAACTCATGTCTAGTGAATGCTTCATCCATCACCATACACGACAGATGTTCCTTGATTTCAAAACCTAACATTATTTTAATGTTTTTCACTTTGAGGCTAGAAGTAGCTACTTACATGTAGGGAAGTCTGTCTCAGGTGTTTCCTTGCCTGTTTTTGTCCAATATCGTGAAGCCTTAACCCCCCACAGAGAGAAGTGGCAAGGGTAAAGGAGCTTGAAACTTCATTCAGTAAAGAATATAAATTCTTATGTTGTGGCTGGTTTTTAAATGTGCTTAAATTGTATATGACATTGTTTTGTGAGGTGCTTTTTATGCTAACATACACATATGACTATGGATGGAAAGCAGTTATCTCTGTTTTTGTGAATACTCGCATTTGTTTTCAGATTAAAAGGTGGCTGATCTCATGGAATACCTCCAGTAAATAACCTTGCTCATTCAAAGTAGTATGCTAGTTTTATTATCACTTTACCTTTCAAAAGTCAGTGCAGCCTGCTTCAGAAAAGATTTCTTTACCTTTCTGAGGAATGATGGTCAGTGAATTTTACTTGATGTGACTATAGAAATGTTGTAGTTTCCAGCAGGGTATGAAATGTCTTTAGATGCTTATGTTATCTAGTTGCTTTCTCACTGTAAGTAGTAAGTGTTAAACTGCACTTCCAGACCTGCTATATAATGACCTTTAAATGTCACCCCCAAAGACTAGAGCTATGATTTTGGCTGTACCATCAAGGATACAAGTTTTGTAGGAAAAACTTTGTTAGTTCGAAATGTCTGCTACTGTACGTGGCAGCATGGTCAGTAAATAAATACACCACTGTTACAGGTGTTAACTGGAGACCAAAATGCCAAATGAAGCAGTTGACAGTGTAACTCTTTTTGCAGTTCATTCCCTCTATTCTTCTATAGCATCCATACTATGCTGCACATCACCACAACCATAAACACAAGATATTTGTATTTCAGATTTCATAAACATTTCTATATCACCTGTATCTACCTCTATATCTAAAAATTATATGCTGTATAAAAGTTGTCATAGCTGATCTCTTTTGCTTTCCAGGTGTTTCTGAATGCGAAATACCTCCAATATAAATAAATAAAATAAATAAAATGTTTTGGCAACCTTTTTAAAGGCATTTAAATTACAAATTGGAATGACAATATTCACTGATATGCCTTTTTGCTTAGTTTGCTATTCCAAAAGTTGATATTGTCATATCTAGGTGAAGAAGTATATGAAACAGAAATTGTTATAAATTATGCCAAAATACATAATGTTGCAATGTGTAATAGGATGATGTCTTATTATTGTGTGAAATATTTTTTTTTTGAGAATTGCACCATTGAAAGTACAGTGTGTCTGATCAAATATGGATAAAAGTGCAAGGTGCAACTTCAGTTCAAGTTAGCAGAACTTCAATTTAGCAGAACAGTTCAGGTTATTGCTTTCAGGAATAAGGTGAAGTAGCCTAAATCTGGGCAAATGCCTCCTGTTCATAGTCACATCTTACAGAATGTAAGGTCAGAGGTAACATGAATATTACACATTATGACATATTTATGACTTGAATTTTTCAATTCCTATTCTGCTCACTATAAGTTTTTTCATGCTCTTTGTGTCTTTCTTGGGTTTTCTTTTCCTTCTGTCTTTTCTTCTTGGTTGTTCTTTTGTTGTTGTTTATTTGACTGATTGTTTAATTTTCCTTCTTTTCTTTCTCATCTCCACCCCTATCCCACAATATAGTCCTTCCCTTTTAGGACAACAGCATATTCTTAAAAGTAAGTTTCACTGGAAATCTGTTCTGGTGTCAGAGTAGCTGTGAGTCACAGTAACAGCCTAGAAAAACCTGCACCACAAATCCCCAAAACTTCAGACATCTTCATGGCTCACTAACATCATCTCCTCAGCACTTTTTCTGTTCCCTGTAGATCCTTAAACATGAAGGAGGAGAGACTTCATGTGAATAAGCTCTTTAAAAAAAAAACAAAAATCTTTCTCAAATGTGTGAAGCTCAAGTCTTAGAAATATAGAAAATTTTTAATTCAAAATTAACAATGAAACAACCAAAGTGCATCTATGGCTGTCATTTGCCAAATCAAATTGAAAAGCTTTCTGCAAGCTCTCCTGATCCCTGGAATGTCTTTTCCTGTGCAACTTATCTGAAAGTCTGCACAGTATCTCTTTATACCCTCTGTCATTTTTTTCTGGTGACATTAGGAGCATCATTACTTGCTGCCACAGAAAAAAAAATGCTTACCAACATGCATATTCAGAATGAGAATGAGGTGTTAATGGTAACCAAATAACCCACACCTGAATGACAAAACACTGTGAGGAAGTGTTTCTCACTGAATAAGGGGCAGATTTTCCTACTTAAGTGTTAAAACACTCTTACCCATTAACCATTCTGACTCAAAAGATTCTTACTCAAATAGATTTCTTCTGACAGATCTGTAAATAGCAGGGAGACAGTGTATCTATAGCATAGATATTACTTTGATGCAGGATGAGTTGATGCCACATTTTTTTCTTAGTAAATCATTATAATTATTAATAATCCAATTATTCAAACATGCATACATTAAAGGAGGGCTGTAAGTGGTGTTTACATTTTTTGAAAACATGACACAGGTGGCATCCAAATCTAGCCTCAGACACATGGGTGCAGAACTACCTCTTGGTATCCCACTACAACAGTCAGACACACTGTGAGGAATATACTGGATTAATATCCTATTGATTTTAGTGTCATATCATTGTGATAATGGCAATGTATGTTTATGGATGTAGAGTATTTCCTTGGTACACACTAAAATTGTTAGCATTAATGGAAGCCAGGATAATATTCTGGAATACTGTGCAATCTTAATATAGTTTTCTTTAATGAGAAAATCACATGTGAAAAGTAGCTGTTACCGCATGGCCCCCAAAAGGCAGGGAAATAACCATATGGAGTAGCCTGGTATCACACTTGAGATCCAAGCTGTTTGTACTTAGCTGTACTAACGGGGGAATAAATAAAATGCCAACAAACATTATTTTGTTTATTTTTTTACAGTCTTAAATGAAAAACAAAATTTTATTTTTATAGGAGTTGCTAAAAGCATAGGAGCTTTGACTACTAGTCTGTGGAAAACGAACAAATTGCAGTCACTGATGATTTCATAATTGCAAAAAGTCTTAAAGAATGGACTACTGCAGCACTTGTTAGAGCCCGTGTGATATATATGTGTGTGAAAGTAGGATGACAACTGCTCATGAATGTAGTCATGGTCAAGTAAGAATGAGACACTTCTTTCTTCTCACACAGACGCAGAAAATTGTGCTTAGAGGACAGAAAGAGATGTGGCCTGTAACAATATAGATCAGTATAAAACAGCTTTGGGGTCTTGTTTTTCAAGGTGGGTGGTGGGCGGAAAAGTGATCCGACATGTCCTTGGATCCATCCTCAAGGCATTTGCTCAGTGCAAAGTTGTGCTGAAGGTTTGTTAACACTAAAATCTCTAATGGAGGGATGTTGATGAAGTTCTGTGTTGGCAAATGGACATGGAATGGATTTGCAAATATATTTTTAGTAGAAATATTGTGCAACTGCCCCAAACTAGCCATC